CCAGACTCGCCTGGGAGTATAAAAGCATAGACTTATTGTACAGGCATCGCACACATTCTGAATAAAAGTCGAGTGTGGTGGTGCGCTAAAAAAACAGGATTCATTACTACCTACGAGATTCATCCTTTTTGACCTCATCGAACTTTGCTTTCTTTAGCACGCGCTCTAGCTCAATCGCCTTTTGCCAGACCACTTCGTTTATTATATGCATCTTTATACACATGGTACACTTTCTAGCTAGACCTCTAGTCTATGTATACTAGTCTTCTCGATAAGTTCCTTTGCCTCAGTGCTTGAAAGTGTGGAACTTCCTGAAATAGTCCCTGACATACCTAATGATGATCCACTCTTAACCAGCTGCAAATTGACTCAAACCAACAAGCTACAAACGATGCCAACAAGCAGCTACTAGAGTCCAATAACACCGAAACTCTACTCAGTTCCTGGAGCAACAGTTGAAGGATTAATATGTCAAGCCTGTTACTGAAATGCTTATTTGTCTCTGATATGGCCCTATCGTGTTTACTTTGGCTCAATTCCCAAAGTTCAACTTACGGTACTGAGAAACTTAGTGAGCCCTGAAGATTATGGAGGACCGGTACCCGATCGATCTCAGAAATTTTTTGGTGTGAAGAAGTCCCTAATCCAGTAGAAGACTCGTTGATACGGTGGGATAGAACCGTTGGCGACAATGATGGATTCGATATCTGGCTGGGTATTTGCAGAGGGTCAGCTAGGTGTGGTGTTTGCGACCAACTCAAAAACGTGCACTCCCCTTCGAATTGACACTTCTCCAGCCGCGCAAAAGGTCACGCTTTGGACCCTTCATCTATCCATCAGATCCTTCTCATCTCCTTATCTATCTATTGTTTGTGTTCTGCTTAGCCTAGCTTTTGGAGAATGATTACCTATTTTACTTTATTAGCGCTACATCTTGGAAGAATGGAATCTCCGCTTTTCACTGGAGCCTTTGCAAGGCCTTTTCTTATGAAAATTATTCGAAAGCAATATGGGTGGGTGCTTGCCCAAGCCATTAAACAGATCTTAGTTTGACCAAAAGAGAATAGCTCTCTTTGCTGCAGAACCACACTCAGAGCTCTTTATTTCAAATTAGCCAGAAAGGGGCGAATCGCGATCTTCATTCCATCGATATTCAGTGGGCGCTGTTGCAATTCTATCCATCAGGTATATGGTGCCCAAGTATGAGGGGAGATTGGTCTGGCGAAACTTCCAGAAGAGATTGGTATGCGCAATCAGTTACCCACTGTGGTTTCTCCTTACCATTAGATGTCTCCAAATTGGCTATAGAAGTCCATGAGGTCCATTGTTGCTCCATCATGCGGATATCCAGCACTATGAACTTCTTGTTATTTCTTTCTCAGCTTCTATGGATGATATTTTCTTCAAAACGAAGCGTGAATCCAGCTCATTCGTTACGGAGGCGTCTACAAGTTTTTAGACAGGTGGGAGGTGTGGTAAGGGAAAGTCCAAAAATGCGCGTCTGGCAAGAGGGTCGATATGGTATGAAGTGGTAACAGAACTATGGCAGTGGTTCGACAAGATATCAGTTTTTTTTTCGGGATTCCCAACTAGTTCTTATCCTTTTGGGAGACAAGGAAGAGTTGAGGGTGTTCTTCACGAGCCCTGCTATATGTTGGCATCACATTACCATAAAAAATTTCGTATTTGCCCTTCTAAATGGACGTTGAATCAGTGAACCGTCACGAGCAGTTGTTTAAAAGTATCCCCTGTTGTCGTTATCTACTGAATTTAACATTCGACCATTTTAATCTGCCACTTCATATAGTCTATTGGATTTATCTCCCTAAAATCATCTGAGTGACCTCGTACAACGTTCATTGCAGTTCCATGCGATTTCCCTTGTTGGGACTAGCCTTAGCGCTGGTACTGATCGAAGACGTCTCAGGGTACTCCGAATGTGTAGGCCAGCCATGCGATGAATGCCATTTCTACTTTAAAGCTGGAGACCAATGCAATGTGCTTGGGAACTATCCCATGCTGTTTTGCGATGCTGACTCAGGGTGAGTGCTCATAATTTTTCTGCGTGCTAAGCATTAACCACAGTACTGTCTTCAGAGTAATTCGTCAAACCATGAATGCCTTCCTGCAATGCCGAGGGTCGGTGCTTATTCTGAAAGAATGTGCTCACGGTACATATTACGAGGATGGGAAAGGCTGTATTGATCCAACCGTTGAACCTTTTCTGCAAGGACTTTCTGTTTCAGGTTTGGAAAGCCAAATCTATTTATCGCTCTCTCCCGCTGGATCACTGTAGAGCTCCCAAGGATTCTTTATCTCAGAATGGTTACACAAATGTGACGTGCCAAAAGCTATTGAGTACATCCAAGATAACTTCAAATCAAGCTCAAGTTTTGGTTCAAAATGGTTACGCTACGTTTTTTACTTCATGGAAGACCTTGTATGGAATAACCAAACAAATCAGTATCTAGCACATTGACAATGCTAGATCGGCTCTTGTTAGCTCTGCTTCCTGAGATCGAACTCGTGGTATGGTTAGGATCAAAAATCAGCCCAAAATAGGGCTAGAGGTAATAAACTAGTCTGCTGGCGTCGACATTCTCAAATAAGTGTTCCACGGTGTGGGAAAAAACGCGCAACGTGCGCAGCAGTCATAATAGGGATTTTGAGTAGAAGGACAATCTCTCTTACGCGGTTGCTCACGTTGCTCTGCAGCGGGCGNCGCAGCAGTCATAATAGGGATTTTGAGTAGAAGGACAATCTCTCTTACGCGGTTGCTCACGTTGCTCTGCAGCGGGCGACTGGAAGTCTGAATACCACTTTAGTATTCAGACTTCCAGTCGCCTTTATTCAGACTTCCAGTCGCCTAGTATTCAGACTTTAGGTACTGTTCATGTTAGAAATGGCTCCTCAGATTTCTTTCTAGGATGAGGATTTCTCCCTGTGACCCTCAAGGATAGCCTAAGTGACGTTGCCGGATCGAAAAACGGTCAAGATAGGGCGCTATAAGGACTCCCAAAAGCGGCACAGCCGACGGACACACCCAAGTTGGCCGAGTGATGAGCGTAGCAAAACCTGTAGAGGTTGCGCCATTCGCATCGGAACCCACACCTTGCACGCAAGCAGCGTATTGCAGCCAGCTGAATGCTATGGCGCGCTTGTTCGAACTGCTCGCACGAACAGCCTTTATATATCCGTTTCTACGTCACTACTGTGTAAATTGCTTTTTGACAACGGAGAAGGGCATTTTGTAAGGTTTATTGTCTCATATTATGCGGCATAGGTATCATTAACAGATACACGCAAATACAGATCAACACTATAACGTTGTGCCAACGTGATACAACAATTGTGCTACGTCTCATCAATGACGGTTGCATGGATATGATATATACATCTTGTAGGATTTCACTTAAGCGATGAATCTGAACATATATGTATAAAAGGAGAATTCAACAGGATTTTACGTGAAGATTTATGATGTTGCGATGATAGGGCAGTAGTTATATGTGAAGCTCCAGTTCAACGGTCGTAGTACCGATATAGGCCTGAAATGATTTATGGGACCTCCATCTACTATTTGCATTACTTGAGTACTGTCGAACCCCTGCTCTGAGGCTGCGGAAGCGGCCCTCCCTTAAACCTATGGGTAGTGCAATTCTTGTGTCCTATAGCTGCAATAATAAACAATTGTTGTAATGACTTGATGTTTTGTTAGCTGCTGTTTTAACACCGCAGTGCGAGAAGCGAAAGTCTCACAAGGATGGCGATTTGTGGGCAAAACTCCAGTCTCGGACGGGACTCGAACCCGTACTTGTCCTTTCTGGGGACCGTGCTCTTATCTCACAAGGTTGGAGTTTTGCCCACAAATCGACAACCTTGGGAGACTTTCGCTTCCTACACTGCGGCGTTAAAACAGCAGTTAACAAAACATCAAGTCAAAACAAGTTATATCATGTAAAGCTTACAGCTTATCGGTTCTGTGCTGATATTGGCCGACCGGCTCAACACGTTGTACGTGTGAGTGCTGATAAGCTATGGCATATAAGCCATTAAGAAGGCGAGGGCAAGCGGGGTCTCGGTAGTGTAAGGGATAAGAGCACGGTCCCCGGAAAGGACAAGTACGGGTTCGAGTCCCGTCCGAGACTGGAGTTTTGCCCACAAATCGCCAACCTTGTGAGACTTTCGCTTCGC